CGCCAAACAACAATGATGGCTGCAACCAAAAAAAAATGGCCGGCGCTGTAGCGGGCGCCTGTGGTCCCAGCTACTTGGGAGGCTGAGGCAGGAGACTCGCTTGCTTGAGCCCAGGAGCTGGAGGTTGCTGTGAGCTGTGAGGCCACAGCGCTCTACCCGGGGGGATAGCTTGAGGCTCCATCTCAAAAAAAAAAAAGAAAAAAAGAATTTATATTATAGAAAAAATTATATGACTAAGAGCAAAGCTCCTATCTTCTACCCCTTGGTATAGAGTGAACTCAACTGGTCAAGTAATAGATGGTAAATTAAGATTATACATCACAATCCAAGTGGTCAAGACACAACTTATGGAATATACAAAGGTCAGAGGGGGCTGAGCATGGTGGTTCACACCTGTAGTCCTAGCACTCTGGGAGGCCAAGGGCAGTGGATTGCTTGAGCTCAAGAGTTCCAGACCACCCAGAGCAAGAGTGAGATTCCATCTCTACTAAAAATAGAAAAACTGGGGCAGCGCCTGTGGCTCAGTAGGAGGGGTGCCAGCCCCATATACTGAGGGTGGCAGGTTCAAAACCAGCCCTGGCCAAATTGTAACAAAAAAATAGCCGGGAGTTGTGGCCAGCACCTATAGTCCCAGGTACTCGGGAAGTGGAGGCAAGAGAATCACCTAAGCCCAAGAGCTAGAGGTTGTTGTGAGCTGTGATGCCACAGCACTCTACCAAAGGTGATAAAGTGAGACTCTGTCTCAAAAAAAAAAAAGAAGAAGTTTAAATTCTACTTTAAAATTATTGAGTAGCCACTAAAGAAGCCACATCATCATTTTTGTAGTTTTGGAATGTCATTCTAACTAGGGAGGAGACTAGAAGTAGGAATACCAGTTAGAAAGGCACTGTAGCAGTCTAAGTGAAGAAGCAGTAAGAAGTGAGTATATGTGAGAGACATTTAGAAGAATTAAAATGGCTCGGCGCCTGTGGCTCAATCGGCTAAGGCGCCAGCCACGTACACCTAAGGTGGCGGGTTCGAATCCCCAGCCTGGACCCGCCAAACAACAATGAC